TGATTTAAAAACCTATCTTTCTTATCGTTTCACTGGGTGGTAGACCTCTTAAAAATTTTCTAAATATGCTATGTTACTTTGAATTTGTGTAAGCATTTTGTCTACAATTTTTTTTTTATTTTCTTTAGATTTTTAATTAGGATTTTTATCCTTCTCAGGTTTTGAATGGAAATTTTATTGCAATTAATTGATTTAAATAAAGGCAGCACCATATGGAGGTTGGGGTTAGGCATGAGCCGTACCCAAACCTCAAAAATTAAGAAATAAAAAGATTTAGGAGCAAGGTTGCAAAGAAAGAAAAAAGAAAAAGGGTAAAAAAACAAGGGCGCTATCCTAAATCCCTTCGTAGAGAAGACAAAAAGGGTTTTAGAGTTAGAAAAGAAAAAAAGGCCTTACCCTCGTCTCTCGTCTGTTGCCTTGGGTTTAAATAATGTGTGATATTTATTAGTCATTTATAATATCAAATCTAAATATATTTTTTAGATAAATTTAAAAAGTGTAATACTACAATAAGTCAATCTTTTCTAGTGGTTTTCTTAGTTGGTTGCTAAAAGGGATGGAGTTAGAAAATTATGTTTAGGGGGGATTTCTTGTTAGGTATTTACATCTTAAGTATATTTAAATGCTTCAATTCATTCTCTTCTTAATTTTCCCTTGAAGAAAGATTCAATTGTAATTGCTTTTTTAGTTAATTGTTTCTGAGAAAACACAAGAAATAAATACATTTATCTAAACTAGAGAACAAAAGCGTTATGATAGCACTTTCTTTTTTTTTTTTTAATAAATGAATCTTTTTATAAAAAAATCCCTTTAGCACAAAGAACATGATTAAAAATCCAATTGTGAAATATAGGGTAAAAAAACAATATGATACCAAAGAGATTGTTGAGTTATTAGATGGAATACTAATTAAGAAAAGAGAAAGAAATACTCAAAAATTAAAGCTTAACTAACTCTTAATATCTAGAAACTAAAATGAGTCTTGACTGATTCAGAGTCCCTTGAACCCTATAAAAGAGAATCTCTTTCAATATTTGTTTTTTTATTGACAAAACTCGAATTTAAAACCTTACGAAGAATAACTAAAATCCTTTCATTCAAACAAACAAGTCATTAGTAATTAAAGCTTATATTGTGTTTATAGTGAAAGAGGTATTTTTTTCTTCTTCTTTTTGAGTTGAATGAGAAAGAGAATCTTAAAACCCTTATTTCCAAATCAATCAAATTTGTATAAAGTTCATAATCTATATTTAGAAACTCTTTACCTAAATCCTAAATGTTTTCTCTATATTTGGATGTTTCTTGCCATTCAAACTCTAAAATTAAATCTTAATAAATAAAATTCAAGAGACCATATTTACAATTTTTCAAAAGTTTAGGGGGGCTGCTGCCCTCCTGCCTAGTGCTAACTCTATCCCTAGTTGCTAAGGTTAATATTCTTAGAGACTGCATAAGGATTGAAGTTCCCATGTTTTTTTTTTTATTATTGTTTTATTATATTAAGTAATCACATGGTGATGAATTCAAGTGAGATCGGATATAGACATTTGTAAGATCTATTTTTCCTATTGAAATCCTTTTGTGTGAATTGTCCAAAAATTTAATATTATTTTTACAATTCTTATTGACCTATAAAAAAATTTAATTAGGTTTTTTTTGTTCATTTTAGGAGCATCACACCATTATTCAAAAATTTTTATTTATTTAAGTGCTATCTTCAATACTTAGTCTAAAACTTTATATTTGGGTTGAGGGAAATGAAAGGGAAGGAAAGGGAGAGGGGAATTATTTATTTTCATTCCCATCCCTTCCCTTTATTTGAATAAATAACTAAATTTAAAAAAATAAATAAAAGAAAGTAATTTTCTCCCTCCCCCTCCAATTTCTTTGATAACCAAATAAAAAAATTTTTTTTTTCTCCCCTTCATTCCCTTTAAACCAAACATACTATAAATGATAAACTTGACCTTTAAAGCAATACCCACTTACTAGGAGTAATTTTTCACTAGATGTAATCAAAATGCTTTATGTATGTAGTGGCAGTGTTTAAATGTAAAGTTGCATGCATCTGCCTTAGACAAATTAATATAAGCTAAATTTTTTATAATTACTTTCTACCTAAGTATCTATGTATTTTAATTTTTACTATATAATATAAGCTTCATTATTTTTTTTTTTTGAACATATTTGCAAGGGGCGGGATTCGAACCCAGCCCGGGGAGGGGGGAATGCACCGGGTGGCTATTGCCACTAGGCCGCAAGGGCCAGGTGCAATATAAGCTTCATTATTAAAACTTACAATCTCCTATGATATTATATAACTATAGCATTACTATATATATATATATAAGAGAAAGTTTTAGTGATAAAATAAAGATTAAAATTAAACAATAATAACAGAGTTAAAAATTAAAAAAATATGTCAAACTTAAATAATGAAAAATGATACACCTATCGATCTAATTTAGTTATCTCATTTTCTTTATAGATGTGGTTTAATTTAGTTTTTTCGCCTTTTATTTTAATAAAAAAAGTTTATATTTATCTCAAAAAAGATAAAAGTGTAATGAATTTTTTTGGGGTCTAATTATAAGTAAAAATGAAAATGAAAAAATAAATCTTAATTATTATAATAAAAGTGTTATAAAATAAGATATTTAAGTAGAACAAAAGTAAGAATACATATAAAGAAAAGGTAAGACAATGAGATAAAAAGAGAGGAGAAAGTATGACAAATAATAATGCTTAAGAAGTATACTTTTTATTCCTTCATTTCTTTATATTCTCAGACAATTGTAAACCTATATAGAGAATAAGGGAAGGAAGACATATTTTGATGGATGAATTTAAGTAGATTTATGAATGAAACTAAATGGATCCATAAATAAATTTATTGGGTAAAAGGTGAAACGTCCATTATTGAAATATAAAATTCATAATAAAATGAATTTTTTTTAATAATGTATAAACAAATAAAATGAGACAATTAAATAAAACCATAATAGGTAATTAATTTTAACAAAATTTCAAATAAAACAATAATTATTTTGAAAATAAGAGTATTAATTTGAAGCGAGCAGGATAGCCATAATGTACTTTTTTATAAGGAAAGAAAGTCACTCAATGTTGATTACTCTCTTTGTCCATAATAGCCCTTGTTTTTTAATTTTTTTAATTAAAAATTTAAAAATTATTTGCATTACTTTTAAAAAAAATTAAAAGAAAAAATAATGTAAAGGACTTGCCTCACCTTAATCCCCTATCCTTTCCCTTTAAACCAAACATACTATAAATGATAAACTTGACCTTTAAAGCAATACCCACTTACTAGGAGTAATTTTTCACTAGATGTAATCAAAAT